CTCAACCCATATCTTTCCTGAGATGTAGGAAGAGGTAGAAGCGATGATAGAGCTTTCTATGAAATCTCGAGAAGAACGTTCAAGTTGTCTCTCAATTTTCAGCTTGAACAGACATTGCTTTTTTATTTTTTTTTATTTTTTTTTATTTTTTTGCCTAGAACGCCCTTTGCGGGTTTTCATTCTAGCAGCTTCTTAACAAGCAATGCTTCTCTCTTGTTGAAATCACCTTTCGAGAAAGCTCTAATCGTTTTGCCTCAGTGTTTGAGAGATTTGTCATCCTCAGGTTCTTACAACTTGTTAGGAGTGTGGATTCGTCCATCCCTATTCCGCCTAGATTTCACGGTTGCACGACACGACTTTGTCCTCTTAGGGTATCTTGACATCAACATACATTTCGTCGATTTTACAGCATAATCATCAGCTTAACAAAATCAGCTTAAAATACCACAACATCCAGCAATAATAGCACACATCTCACATCATCAGCATACAACTCATCAGCCATACAGCATAACAGCAATAAAAACATACAATGCGTCGTCATGCATATCAACTCAGAGATCTCCTACAACAATTCAGCCTTTCGGCCTACATCACCTCAGCCTTTCGGCCTACAACACCTCAGCCTTTCGGCCTACAACACCTCAGCCTTTCGGCCTACATCATCCAATATCAACACACAGTTCAACACAACATATCAACTTACAACACAACACAACTTACCAACATACAACACATCTCAACATCTTGCAACACAGCTAATTATAGCTCAACATTATCAACAACATTATCTACTAATCATCACATCATATCCATCATTTTCAACTCAGCTTAACAATCTATAGTACAACAATATTTTAATTCAACATGAAAATCATCAATAACAGCTTAAAACAGCATGATCAACAACTTCACAACGTACAACATGTTCAACACATAATACGACCCAACCATCTTGTTTACAACTCATCTATCTTGTCAAATTACTCACCCAAACAACACCAATCAACCTAAGCACCTAAAACAACTCTCAACTTAACCAAATCACTAAATGTGAAATGGCAACCTTCACAGAAAACAGCGCATCATGAGTTATACTACTCCTACCATACTCATCCTTATCTCATATGAAAGATAAGAAGATTTCCTACAACTCTCATGAAGACACCAAGTCCTAATTCCTTCATCTACCTTGTGAAAAATTCTAAAAACCGCAACAGCTATAAGCAATGCTGGCAGCTTGACCTCACAACATATTCATAGTGACCATACCTAGTCCTGAAAGTAGTCTTCGGTATGTCACCCTCCTTCACCCTAATCTGGTAATAACCTGACTTCAAGTCAATCTTCGAGAAAACCGATGCTCCCTTCAGCTAATCCATTAAGTCATCTATTCGGGGAAGTGGATATTTGTTCTTAATGGTCAACTTGATCAACTGCCGGTAATCCACACAAAGTCGACTACCTCCATCTTTCTTCTTCACCAACAACACGAGAGCACCCCACGGCGATACACTCGGCCGCACCAACTGCTTCTCCAACAGGTCCTCCAACTGACCTTTCAGCTCAACCAGCTCAGTTGGGGCCATCCTATAGGGAGCCACCGACACTAGCCCCGCACCTGGAACCAAGCTAATGCTAAACTCCATCTCCCTAATAGGAGGCAACCCAGGCACCTTATCCGGGAACACCTCAGCAAAATCCCTTACTACAACAATTTCTGCAATGACCCTTTCGGTCTCAACACTCATAGTAGCAAGCAGAAGACAACACTTTACTCCACCCCTCAACAATGATTCAGCTTGGCCAGCTAAAATCAACAGCTCCTCCTCTAGCAGTAAGCATATGGTGAGTACCTCTCCACCAATGCTCAGCCTCCCCAACTAGCATGTAGACAACATATGCCAGCCCCCCCGAGAACATCCCAACACAGTGAAGATCCTCTCCAGCTCACAGATCCAGTGGTCAACTATCTCTGGGTCTGTATCTCCCCTGAACTGTGGAGGGCGGAATTTTCGAAACTCAGCTAGATCCCGGCTCTCCTGTGACCCCACAGGCCTTGCTGCACCAGCTGCAACTCTATCAACATCCATCCTAGCAAAATAAGCATTTTGTCGCTGCATAGCCATAGCCATAATCTCCATGGCACGGGCTATCTGCTCATTGGTTCTAGTCATTGTCTACAGAAGTAATAGCATCTTCAGTATACAATAACTAAACCAAACAACCAACAGCACAACAAAACATCACAACAAGACAGCACAACACAGAGTTAACACAACAAAAGCCTAAAGGATCCACCCCCAAAGAGTGTCCACTAGACTCGCCAGAACGGCCCGTTCTGGGTTAGAGATTTTAGGCCATTTTTTTAGTTTGGAACGGCCCGTTCTGGTCTAGAACAGCCCGTTCCAACCAACAATTTTTAGGCCTTTGAGAAGCCTCGGAACGGCCCGTTCTGATTCGAGAACGGTCCGTTCCGGACTTGAGAACGGCCCGTTCCGATTTTGGAACGGCCCGTTCTGGGCCACTAAAAAAGTTGATTTTGGCTTTTGGGTCCTCTGATGTCCTATTTTGCTTATCGTTTGCCCCCGGACGAAATTGGGTGTCTACAGCTGCCCCTCTTTACTTGTCCTTTAGAATAACTGTGTTGCTTTTCTAAAGGCAAGTAAAGACGTAGACATTCGTCCGGGTCGTCTTCTCATCTCTGTGTTGATGCTTCTACGTTGCTTCCCTTGGACAAGTGTATTTATTCGTATCCTCACCCTTTAGAGCAATTGAACATTGATTGCATACTCTATTGGGTAATAAGGTTGACAAACTGTACACCTGATATTCAGTCTTCGAGTAGAAGCTCCATTGTTTCTCTTGTGATAATGTGTCCCTTTATTTGTAGCTTGTTTAAGAGGGAGTATTATTATGGCTGGCCTCTCCAGGCTGCTTATGCTTGCCTCTCCAGGCCGCCTGCTGAATGTTGAGTATTATTATGCCTAGCCTCTCCAGGCCGCCCGCTGAATGAATGCTGAGTATTATTATGCCTAGCCTCTCCAGGCCGCCTGCTAATGTTGAGTATTATTATGCCTGGCCCCTCCAAGCCGCCTGCTGATGCTGAGTATTATTATGCTTGCCTCTCCAGGCCGCCTGCTGAATGTTGAGTATTATTATGCCTAGCCTCTCCAGGCCGCCTGCTGAATGCTGAGTATTATTATGCCTAGCCTCTCTAGGATGCTTGCTGATGTTGATGATGCGATTGCCCTTTTTCTATGGGAAGACGTCTGATGAAGACGAAGATTGCTAGTAGGTGGTGCCCTTGTGATGGTGGGCAAAGGAGTAAATGATGAGTATTATTATGCCTGGCCTCTTCAGGCTGCCTGCTGATGATGCTGATGTGATTCCCCTTTTCTTTGGGAGGACGTCTTCTCATCATACTACAACATTAATCATTTTTCAACATTTTATCAGAGGACCATAAAGTCAAGGCTACAACTATAACAAAGACCATAAAGTCAAATTCTGAAATAAAAAAAGCGCTCAGCGCTTTGCCACTAGGAATTCTCCCCTGGCATGCGGCCCCTAAAGGGCTCAGCCCTTTCAAAGGGATCAGCCATTTCACCAAGCACTTAGTCGTTCCCAACAGCTCAGCCCTTTGCCTCCTGGGAATGCTCCCCTTGCACGTGGCCCCCAAAGGGTTCAACCCTTTAAAAGGGCTCATCCTTTGATGATAGAAATACATGGGTTCTTCACCATTTTCATCAAAACCAGAATGCAAGTGCACTCAATTCATATAAAAACATCAACGCAAAAGATCCAACACACAAAATCACAAATTTCCAGCACAAAACACAACATGCAACTCATAAATAATCAAAAACACCACATGCAAACCTTAAACAACACAAACCCATCACATTTTCAACTTTTCCCCAAAACTTAACTTCCAACTCGATTTCTCAACCATGATTGATAATCCTACATGTTTCTACTTGAAATCAGCTCAACAATGCAACACTATAAACTTCTACTCCTCATTTCTAGCTTCCTTTACCTCAGAGAAGAAGAATTCGAGCTTCGGGGAAGGAAGAGAACAAGCTTCCACACACGACTTCGGGTTTTCCCAAACTTTAAGTTCTCTAGCACCAAAAGCCCAACTCTCCCTCAGCTCAATCTTCAAAAAATAAGAAGGAGAGGAGAAAAGTATTTTGTTTCAACCAAGGAAGAAGAAATGAAGAGTAAAGGAAAAACGGAGTTGAGGCTTACATTAATCATCTTAACCTGAGGATTGTATAGTTGTAGAAAGTGTATTTGCAAAAAGGACTCCGACGATCAATTTAACATAATTATCTTGTTTTCCTTATTTTACTAACACACATATCTTAGTTTTCAATAACTATCCATATCTCCTTCAATGGTTACTTTTTCATGTACTATAATGTTTACTACTTTGAAAGTGCTATCAAGTTTGAGTTTACATAGTTTTAGTCATGCTAACATTTTAAGGTCAAATTAACTGATCACCTAAGGTTGGATTGGACAAGCTTCCTAGTGATGTGAGTACATAAACTCCCAAGTCTCAAGTTTATGTTGGAGCAAGAGAACTTATTTAGGATTACAAGAGGTAATAATTCTTGCATGCTAGCATCTTTTGTGACTTGTCAATAAATAATTATGTAGTAATAATAATTAAAGGTGCATTAATATTAGTGAGGAAATGAAAGTGTACTCGTAATTACAACTTTTCATTTTGAAAAATTTAAGTGTTTATAGCACTATATAAAAAAGTAATTAACAAGGGTTTTTTCTGGTTATTTCATAAAATCGCTACAAAATATTATAATTCTAACAATTATTTTAACCATTAAAACCATTAAAAAATAATATATTTTTGGTGGTTTAAAACCGTCACAATCTTTAAATACATGCCACACGTTGTCAACTTAATCAAAATATCTTTTTTCTTACTTTTAAGAGAATAAAAATCATAAACTTATTCTTATGCACACACGCTTCTCTTTCTCTCAAACTTCTTTCAAAATTCTTGACGGACACGTTTGAGCTTCACTGTCACAACTTTTGGGCTACCAAAATGTTGGATCTCTGTGACAACTTGGGTCACGTTGTTTACGCCACCTTGTTGTTCCAACAACTACGAAACCCCATCGTGTTCTCTTACAATGCAATCATCATAACCTACACCTATAATCAGAAACATTCCCTAGCAATTGGTATTTTCAACCAAATGCTCACATATGCAACAAAATCAATGTTACCAGACAAGTTCACGTTCCCGTTTGGATAAAATCGTGCGCGGGTCTTCTTTGCCTTCTTCTCGGGCAACAAGTTCACACGCACGTGTGCAAATTTGGCACCAAGTCGCATGCAATAACGGATAACGCTCTGATTGATATGTACACAAAGTGTAGCGATATGAATGGTGCGTACCAAGTGTTTGAGGAAATGATTCACTTAGATGCGGTTTCTTGGAATAGTTTAATATCGGGGCACGCGAGATTAGGACAAATGAAGAGTGCGCGGGAAGAGTTTGATGAAATGCCTTGTAGGAAAATTGTGTCTTGAACGACTATGATTAATGGGTATGCTAGAGCAGGATGTTATGTTAATGCTTTGGAGATTTTTCGTGGGATGCAAGTGGTGGGTATTGAGCCTGATGAGATCAGTGTTATATCTGTTCTACCCACGTGTGCGCAGCTTGGGGCTCTTGAGGTTGCACAGATGGAAGACAATGTTTGTCAATTTGGGTTGTGTAGGGAGATTTGTGGAAGGAAACATTTCTCGTTGGAACTGAGGTTTGTTCCATTAATTTGTTTTTTTTTTAAAATTTATTTACGTGTGCCGTGTATTTTTTGTTTGTAACATTTTGGTGTTGCAATTGCAGTGGGACCAATTGGATTTCGTGTATCAATTCAAGAGGGATTTCTCAAATCTAGAAGTGAGTATTGGATTCAGGCTGCTTAGGTTTTGTTTAGTTTGGTGGTCTCTGCTTAAGTGAAGTAAACTGCATTATTTTGATTAATCACTGATGATGTTGTGATTTTGTGGGTGTGTTTTCAGAATGTGTCTGAGGAGGGTGGCATGTTATATGAGAGAAAACTTTATGGTGTGTTTGGATGGGGAATTTTACAAATTCAAGGAATTTGAAATTCTTGGTATTTGAATTACTTTGATTTCAATTTCTATTGTTCTTAAAAGATTTTGTTTGGATAAGTCAATTCAATTTTTTTAAAATTTTAAATTGTTAAATTGGATATTATGATAATTTGATTCTACATTTTAAAAATATATTTATATGTTTAGATTTTTAAATAAAATTTTATAAAAATAAATATTAGCTAAATTTTAAATATTTAATAATTTTAAAAATTAATATTAGATAATATTTAATAATTTTTAAAGAATTTTTGAAAATTTAATAATTAAAATATATGAAAAGATAAGATAAAATATATTAGTGAAATAAGGAAAAAATATGAGGAATTTCAAATTCTTACTATTTTGGGAGAATTTGAAATTCTACTATTTCAAGGAATTTCACAAATGCTTGGATTTCAAATTCTTTGTAAATTCTCCATTCAAACAAAGTATTTCACTTCAAAGAATTTGAAATTCTTCAAACAAATGAATTACTCCATTTAAATTCTCCATCCAAACACACTCTTATGTCTTTGGTTACATTAAGCGCAAGTGGCTTGCTAGACTTTATTTTGTTCTATCGCCATTTTGAAGGCGACTGATTAGCTTTCTATCCGTTTGCGTTTATTGTTTGGTCATTGGTCTTATGTTGATCTTTCTGGCTGCAACTCAACTGGTCATGTTTAAAGGAGAAAGCAAAGTTGTCAGCATACCTGTGGTGGTAGTTGTAAGTTGTCAAACAAGGTTGTTTACATGGATTGTGAATACGTGTTGACCAAATTGATTATTGCTTTTGAGCTTTTTCATAAAAATAGACTGTTTTATCTTGTAAGTATGTGATAATAATGTGTTCCTTCTAGTTGTCACTTGTGTGTATTCTTTAGTATAGGGAATAGACTTAGGAATCACAACCTTGATGATTTCAATATAAAGGTGTTATTTTTGAATTGTAGCTTGTTTAATCTTGTGATTTTACAGGTCTTATGATTATTTGGGTTAAATTACATTTTGCATTAATTCTTTCCCTGTCTAATTTCAAGTCTTGGTAAGATCTTCTGATTTAACAATCTTTTGGATTGGCAGTGGTGTTGAATTATTTTTTGAGTTTACCCCCCTCTGATTTATTTCCCAAATGGTTCTATATTGTATGCCTCATTGCTGGGTAGGTTTAAGTCAACTAATACTTTATATGATCTAATTTTATTGGCAGGAAAGCAGGATTGCCTGTTGGTTACAAGGGTTGTCAATTTCATATAGTTATTAAGGATTTTATGATTCAGGCAGGTGATTTTGTAAAGGTACTGTTCTGGTTTATCTTTGATTTTTTCTTTTTGGCATATACTGAGCGAGAGCAGTGGTGAGTGTCAACATTTATGAAAATAAAATAAGATGAGCCCACTTTTATGGTTCTCTTGCATGGCTTGATCTTATTGGACACATATAGCATGATGGTTAACTTAGTTATGAAATTTGTGTTTCTTACCCAATATTTTGTGGAAACTATTTTACTCTCAGGGAAGTTATTCATTTATTAATGAAATCTTTGTGATGTTTATGTATATGCATTGATTTATCTATTTATGAATTAACTCTTAAAGCAATTCTGCCTTCTATTTTAATTCACAAGATTTATATGACTTGTATAAATGTTGCTAGTGACAACAATAGAGTTGAATCCTGGTTTTATATGAAATCTTTACTAATAAATTCTTCCTTGGCAGGGTGATGTTAATGGATGTGTTTCCACCTATGGACTCAAGTTTGATGATGAAAAATTCACCGCCAAACACACTGGCCCTGGCCTTCTATCGATGGTATGTGTTTGCTTTTTCTACCTTCTATCATTTTGGGTTATATGAAAATAGGGATTGCTGATGGAATGGACACACAAGGATAAATATGTACCTGTATGCTATTATTTACTATGATAATTGTAATGTATCAGTTTTGAATGCTAGCTGTTCTTACCGGAAATCTGCTGTAGAGCTGATCTGCCAGGTAAGATCGGTGAGCCTCCTTCACTGGTACGCTGGTGCTCCAAGATGGGGGTGGTACCTGCAAAAGAGACTCCGATGCTAACGTTAGTGTTTGTGTGAATACTAGTCTCGTATATGTAATGCACGTACCTTAGTGTGAATTAGGGTTGTATTGGGCCTTGGGCCTGAGATGAGAGATAATGTGATCAGATAAGGGATTTCGTCTGGGGTGAGATCCTCAAGAATCAGTTATGATTCACTTAAATACCGAGCTGATGTCGCGCGGTGCGTGTCCGAGGTTGGCTTGCGCTGTGGTACCGAGCTCTGAGCTCGGTTAGGCAGTACGGATAGTACACTAGCTCCCCGAGCTCCGAAGACCGTAGGTCGAGGAGTTAAGACCAAGCTCGCTGGGGGGAGGTGACATTTCGCGTACGTTTGCATGTTGTGGTGCCATGTGTCGTGACTATTCATTTCCCGGAAACGTGCAAGTGGCGTGTTATGGGAAATGACGGTTATGTAATGATGAATTTGCAATTAATTGTGTTGTTAGGCGTGCCCTTAGGTTGACACGTGGCATGGCCGTTTTGAATTTGGGGGAGAGTTTTTTCTTTTCTCTCACTCGCGCCTCTTTGCCTTCTTCACTTTACTCTTTCTTCAACTTCTTGTGTACGCCGCTTCTCTCGTTTTCATCCGTTCTCCGTCTCCGTTTCAGTCACCGTTTCCGGTAACCCTTTCGTTGTTAGGGTTATTTTCTGAAGAGGAGTACTAGGTACTTCCTTTTTACTGTCTTCTTTTCTCTTCTTCCCGGTTTTTCTTCGAGTCTTTCTTTTCTTTTTCATGGCTGGGGGGAGTAGTGCCGGTTCTTCTACGCCTTCTCGGGGTAAGGCGCGTGGTAAGGCGGTGGCTACCGGAAAGGCCACCGCCGAAAAGAGGGATCCGCCCCGGGGCC